CTAAAATAAAAGTTGAAAATAAAATGCAAAAATAAAGAAAAAAGCAAATCATACACTGGGAGAAGATATTTGCAAAGCATGTATGTGACAGAGGACTTGTATCTGGACTATATAAAGCAGTACCAATAAGAACATGTACATATAATATTGATACTTAATATAGCTTAGAAGGAGGAAGTACTGGATTTCAAAGGAGATGAGGCTTATTTGCATGTGATAGAATAAGGCATCTTTCTTATTCCTATAGGGAAATCTCAAGTAGGAGAATTGAGCCCAGTATAGATACTTTTGTCTTTCACCTGTTATTCTGTAAATATGAAGTGCTATAAGCTAGTACAGTGTCAGTCTGTTTGACCATTAGTGCAGTGGTCAAGGACACTATGTAATCCTACCAAAGTCTCTTTTTAAAGAGAGACTAGTAAAAGAAGCCTTGAGACCTTTATTGTTTACACAGCCTGGAAGCTGTCACTGAGTCCTTAAATTGAAGCATGACATTGTGCAGTGATGTGCTAGTGGACAAAGAAGTACAGAACAGAATCAAGGATGTCCTTTGGGAAGTCCACAGAGTCTGTTACAAATGTAATATCCCGTTGCAGTGAGATGGAACTGAAGACTTACAAAGCAGAGGCACACTTCCTGTGGACAGGGGCCCTGCCACAGACAACACATCTGCTTCTTGAGCAGTTTCACTCAGACCATTTAGGAGCCCATCAGAATATTGAGTGGCAGGACAAGGTCAGTAATGGCAAACACCCAGAATGCAGCCGATGTAAGAGTTTTGAACCAATTCTTCCACAGTACAGCTTTACTGAGCAGGATGTGTGTGGAGAATGGACTACAGCAGGACTCCTGGGCGGTTGTTGAATTGGAAGCTGAGGTGGGGAAAGCACATGCTGAGGAGGCAGAAGGAGTGTTGTCTGAGACCTGCTGCGGTGCACCCTGAGCAATGAGGTCCTGCAGAGCGGGCCCAGCCGCCCGAGCAGCTGCCATCCAGCTGGGAGGGACGGGCTTGCTGTTGGTGAGCGGAGGCTCTGGCTAGCTGTTGAGTCTGAAAAGCAGGACCACAAAGAAAACAGACTGTTTAAACAGCAGGTGAAGCCGCTCACAGAAGAGCAGACTTGATGCAAATCCTGTGTGGAAAAGATTGTTGGTCTCATTTTACTGTCTTTGGCCATACCCATAAATCTGATTCAGGAAAGACATTTATGTGTACACAAGTATATACAAATAAAAGTAAAGTTGTACTCTAGTACTTTCTACCCCTTCATCAAAAACAAACAAAAACAAAAATACAGTGGTCACATCGAAATACTAGAAATAGAGCAATTTAACAATTACAATTTTTTATTTACCAGACTCACCACATTTTTATTTTATAGGCAGAATGCTTAAAAGACTGCTAATGTCCTAAAGACAATAATGTAATAATACTTTAAATTTCAAAATGCCTCATAGCCGTTACCATGCACTATTCTGTAGTTCCTTTCCTGTGGATTTCTTTCACAAGGTTCCTTGTCTTTGTCTCCTCCTAGGGTCAGAGTGGTAGAGGCCATATACCTCCTAATGGGTGCCTTAGTAAATACTTGTTTAACTGGACTGAACCCTAAGGATTAAGATGTCAGTGTATGGTAACCTCATAGACAGACATGGTTTTCACCAGCCTTATAGCAATTTCATGATGTACTCTAATTCCAGCATCTAAATATGCTATGTCAGATTTGCAACATGTTAACACATTTTTTTTCTTTTTTTTCTTTTTCTTACCGTTTTGGCCTTTCGTTTGCAACTGTCGTGGCTTTTTATCCATTTTCCTATCTTTGAATTATGCATATGTGTCACCTTTTCTGATAGGAGGAACGGAACTCCATGATGAGTTAGGTGAATTGTAAGTGTGAGGCTGGAAAGGGGATAATAATATGGCATGTGGTTAAAAATGGAATACACATATGGGATCTGGAGGGCTATAGATACATACGTAGCTATAGAGAGAGAAAAGGTAGGAAAACAGAGGTAGAGACATTTCAAGAGAGAACTAAGATTAGACACGAAGTGATAGAGTCCCTTTCCCAAGAACCAAAAAGAGACAAAAACTGTGCTGAGAAGCCTCAAAACTTCACCGTTTGTAGGAGACAAGTTCCACGGTGATGAAACAAAATATGCTATTTTGAATGCATATATGTATTAAAATTTTTAATCACATTTGGAGGACTGTATAATTTGAATGATTCTGTAATTTTTAGGCATTCTCAAAACATGAATATTTTTAAACATAAATTACTTAAAGATTTCATTGTTAGCTCTGCCATTTGTAATTTGATGAGTGAAATGTTTCATTTTCCATTATAGAAGCAGAGAAAATCATCTTGGTCGTCAAACAGAAATTAGTAAAATGTACAAATAGACTTATTTAGAATTCCTATCCTTACAGCTTTTAATGCTTTTTTCTAAAAACAGTTACTTATTCTTGGTTTAGGACAGTAATGAGTAAAATTACTGCCTTTCCATTACGTTGTTAAGATTGTTAGATGGAGATAGTCTGTGTTGCCCTCTATTGGTGATTAATAGTTAACTTTTGACAGAATAATTGCTGCTGTGTGTCATTTGTGTATTTAATAACTGTATCAGCCAGTATATTTTAGAAAAAAGAATTTGGGAAAACCAGCCTATAGTTGTGGCCGTGAATTGGCCAAAGGTGAAAAAATTAGATTTCGGACTTTTTGATTTAACAATTTTATTGACTAAGGTAGTATTGAGATACTTTTGCCTTTGATTAATTTTAATTTTAATTTTTTTTTTTTTTTTTTT